GCCTAAGAGAGGCCTATAACTCAATACAGGTAGTCCTCAACTTATGAATGTAATGGAGCCTGCCCATTCCATTCGTAACTTAAAAACTCATGGAAGTGAATCTTGTACCTCGAACAAGATCACTCTCTTGCTCGTTAAGACGCATGTGGCTCATTAAGGGCACATGAGGTATCTCAAGGTGGGGAATGCCATGGAGGACCTAGTGATGGAACAGGCCCCCAAGGCTTCCCCAATCCACTAAGATACCTCATTCTTCCCCCTTCCTTCCTGCTGAGCCGGACTCATCTTGCAAAAATCCTCTCTGCTGTGGTTTCTTTCCTTTTGAGGGAGAGGACAGTCAGCTTGGAAATGCTTTTTGCACCGACAATGGAAGCTCCTGCGTGCTGTAATATTGCACGAGTTCAAAAGAAATCATGGTCCCCAGAAGCTTCTATTCTAGGGGGGGAATGCTTGATTCGTTTGCTTGCCTATGGGGCAAAGAGTAGAATCGGAGTCGGCTGAGTGCAGGAATATGGCCCAGGTGTGTTGCTTGCTCTCATGCACTGGCCTTGGTTTGAGAGCAGGAATGAAGCCTTCAACTGAACAGGGAGGTATCGTGGGGCAAGTCACCTTGCACCTGTGTCTAAGCTGTTTGTGGCGGCAGCCACCTGAGCGGCTGCAATCTCCCCAGCCAGTCTGCCCGACCTACTCCTTGCCTGACCTTGCCCAAATCCTGACTGTATTTCTCCTTGTCGTCCTCCCAACTCAAGCGGTGGCAGCGGCTTGAGTTTCTCCACTCCATCTGAAAGGAAGAAATCAGAGACGCAGAGCAGGATTGCTCTCAAGAAGACATGGGTGCGCTGTGCGCACCAGCTTTATTGAGAGCAATCCTGCTCTGTACCTCCGTTTCCTTCCATTCGGATGGAGTGGAAAAAGCATTGCATTCGCACACAGATGGAGCTCCCCATCTCTTCAAGGTCCCCGTTCAGATAAAAGGTGTTTGAGCACCTATGGGAGCCGTGGAAATGCTTCTCATCTCCCCAAGGTCTCCATTTGGATAAAAAGTATTTGATCGCCTAGGGACACTTGGAAACTCATTGAATCGCTGCGTTTCCAAGGGTCCCGATTGCGCTCAAACACCTTTTATCTGAACGGAGATCATGGGGAGATGGGTAACTTCGTCTGTGAGGAAATGGGGTGGTTGAAAATTGCTGCGTTTTCAAGCATAGCATTTGCACACAGATGGAGCTCCCCGTCTCCCTAAGGTCTCCGTTTGGATAAAAAGTGTTCCGGTGGCGGCGGACAGGAGTTGGGGGGGGAGCAGAAGACAGGCACAGAGGTATCACTGAAAATGAAAGTTTCTGGGGTCCGTGATGTCGCGATTGTTCAGGTACCCCATTCTCCGCAAAAGAGGATGTGTGCTTGAACTTGCGTGATATTACGGCATCCAGGAGCTTCCATTGACTCTCCTCTCCTTCAAAGGCAGAAATCGCGACAGGGAGGAGACAGATCTTCTCAAGGTGAGTCTGTGCGGCAGTAAGGGAGGGGGAACCAGTTTTGGGGAGCGCGGGGGGATAGAGTTGCAGAACCTCTGCAGTCATTCGTAAGGGCGAACAACTGCCGTGGCGCTGCAATATTCGTAATTTGGGGATTTTTCTACCGGGCATTTATCGCGTAACTTCGAATGAGCGTTAAATGAACCCTCTTAACTCGGGGATTACCTGTAGTCCCCTGGCTGCTAGGCCAATAGCTTACCCACTAATGAAATAATCTTCATTTAGAGACCAACATTGAAATTGGCAAAATGAAGCCGTTTCTAAGTCAAACCATGATTGTGCTTATGATCTTACTTGTTTTACAAACTTGTGAAGGTCATAAACACAAGCATTGGTTGTAAAATTAGTTTTTCACCACTGCCATAACTGTGAATGGTCTCTAAACGAGGCAGTTGTAAAGAAGGATACCTGTACTCCAAACTGACTCTTTCATTTTTAGAATTTAGATACATTTAGACAGGGCTTTTTTTCTCGGAGAAAAGGTGGCGGAACTCAAACCTGGCCACGCCCTCATCAAACCCTAGGACCGCCCCTTTAGAGAACAGGAATGCAAGTAAAATTTGGGAGGGGCTATTTCCGGTGTGGGAGGGGCTATTTCCGGTGCGGCCGGCCCGGAAAAAGGTGCCGGAACGCGGTTCCGCCGCGTTCC